CAGTATATATAGTATGATGCAAAGTAAGGAGCTCTGGTAGAGTAGTGGTTACAAGTAAGGCTGCTAACCTCAAGGTCAGCCGTTTGAAACTACCAGCTATTCTACAGGAGAAAGATGAGGCTTTCTGCTCCCATAAAGATTTACAGGTTTGGAAACCCTATATAGGGTCGCTATGAGTTGGAACCGACTTCACGGCACACCACCATACCATACCATGATGCAAACTAAAACATACAACTATAAGTCAGTATCTCTAAGCCTCAGCTCTCCTTCCAGCGCTTTTACTTTCCACAGGGAGCAGAGGCCAGTGTGAGTAGTACAGGGTCACACTGCAGTTCCCCAGCACCTTAGCCAGTGTTTCTCCATTGTGCTTGCACTTTTACACTCTGTGTTTTCAAGCCATATAATTATTAGTTTAAATAGAATTTGACCTAGAAGCACTATACAAGTACGTTAAAAGAATTGTTTTTATCTTAGGGCATCACCATTCTTAATGTGTGACCTCCAAAGCTAAGATCACTCAGAGAAGGATCAGAGAGGAAGGTTGTGCATGGAAGACTTCTTATTTTTTAATTAAATTGGGCAAGGTCTGGAGATGGATGTTATTCCATCCATCCACTGATCACACTTGTCATGGCCCTAGATGCAAATGGCTTAGAAATTACAGTAAAATTACAGTTTTTGCCTGTTCTCTGAAGAAAATAAGACCGCTTTGTGTCCCTGCCACAGAAGTCTGTTTGCTCAGTAAATCTCCTCTCATTGTTTACAGTGAGTTAAAGTCATGGAAGTGTGACTTCATCTCTCAATGTAGTACTTCTTGTTCCTTCTGGGGCCCAAGAGTCCAATATCTCCCACTACCTAACTACCTAATGATTACACTTCTGTCTTTATCCTGCTTATTACAAGTGCCTCTTGGGTGCTTTTGGGAAAGCCTACACAAATAAACTTTTATCTGTTTTTTTTTTTTTTTTTTTCCTTCTATTTCTTTGCAGGAGAGTTACAGTGCAGGAGTTAAACATTATGAGGCTGATGACTTTGAGCTGGCTATCAAGTACTTTGAACAAGCTTTAAGAGAATATTTCAGTGAAGATATGGAGTGCCGAGCCATGTGTGAAGGCCCTCAGAGATTTGAAGAGTATGAGTATTTAGGGTATAAAGCCGGCCTTTATGAAGCCATTGCTGGTAAGCTTATTTGTTCTCTTTATTTTTTCCTAATTCTGAGACTAACACATGCAATATGCAAAAATATTACAATATATAAGTGTGCATTGTAAAATATGAGAGTCTCATATGTCTATTCCATAGATAAATATATATAGCTAAAGTTTCTGTGAATATCCTCTGAAATTTTTCCATATGCATGTATCAATTGATTTATAACTATGACTTATTTTCTATAAAATAGGACTATACGATAAATGGAAGGAGACTTGATGGTGTAATGAGTTGTGTGTTGAGCTGACAACCGCAAAGTTGGCAGTTCGAATGTACTAGGTGCTTCTCGAGAGAAAGAGTAGGCTATCTGCTCTCGTAAACATTTACAGGTTTGCAAACCCTGTACAGGGTTGTTATGACTGACAACCGCCTCCACAGCACACAACCAGCTAGTCATACTATAAAAGAGTACTAGTGTGGCACTGTAAGATAAGCACTGTGCCGCTAACCACAAGGTCTATGGTTTAAATCAACCA